CATAGACACCAATCGAACCCCTCCTCAATCATCATCCCCCCTACCCAACCCCCCAACCCCAGGGGTGGGCAAGGCCCTGGTGGAGCACCCCGTGGTGGCGTCAGTGCACCTCACAGGCAGCGCAGACACATACAACGCCATAGTCTGGGGCGGCAGGGACACGCCGGTGCGTACGCGAGCCCTGGCACGCCCCCCTTTGCGCGGGCGCGGCGCCCACTGCTCGCTCCCCCTGCACCGCCTGCCCCTTTTGCGTTTGGCTAGGCCTGTGGCTGGCCTGTTTGCTTTCGCTGTCCCGCTTTTTCTGGGTGCTTGCGGGTCGCGGCTTGTCGGTCGCCGTTGTTGGTCACTCGCATCTTGCCTGGCCCAGGGCTGCGGCAGCAGTGGGCCTTGCACTGGCGCTGCATCACTGCTGCCACAGCCCTGACCATCCAGGGGTTCAGGGATTTGGGGATCCAGAAATGCGGGATGATGCGGGTGATTTAGGATCCAGGAATGTGGACATCAGGGCAACCTCGGCCCGCCGGGGCCTGGGGGAGGGCCGCAAGCGAAGAGACGTGCCGCTGTGGCGCTGGTGGCCGACGCTGAGCCGCCGGCGGCTGTTTTAGACCCTGGGACGGGCGGGGGGGAGTGGGGGCGTGCCGCGACCGCGCCTGCCCACATTTGATCCTGATTGCTTGTCTCCCGCCCTGTAGATACACCGCCTGCGCTTCACCCTGCGTAATCCCCTCATGCCAATCCTCCCCCCCCCCCACAGCGCGTGGGCGAGCCCAAGCTGACTAAGGAGGTCACCGCGGAGCTGGGCAACGTCACCCCTTACATAATAGTGCCGGGGCCCTGGAGTGACGATGACATCCTGTACCACGCGTCCAACGTGGCGTCAGGGCTGGCGCAGAACAACGGCCACAACTGCCTGGCCGCTGAGGTGGCGGGGGGGGGGGGGCTGCGGGGTCGCTTTGAGGGTAGGCTTGCAGGGTGTGCTGCTGCTGCTGCTGTGTGTGTGGGGGGGGGGATGAGGCGTTTTGGTGCGGGTGCGTGGGCATGTAATTGCGCGTGCATGATCGTGTGGGTGTGTGCATGCACGCTTGCGTGCTTGTGAGTGTGAGTGTCTGCGGCGGTGTGTGGGTGAATGCGCGCATGTGTGTGTATGTGCGCGAATGTGCACATGCATGTGGTGAACAGGCATGCTGTGGGGCCCACAGATTGGGGGAAGGTACTTGGGTCTGGGAATCGCAGCGGCAGCCTTGCCAACCCGCTCACCCGGCGCCCAACCTCGGACGCGCGCCGTCGCCTGTCACCTGTCACCCATCAACCGTCAACCGTCAACCGTCACCCGCCGTCCCCGCCAGATCGTCGTGACGTCCAAGGACTGGCCCCTGAGGGAGAAGTTCGTATCCGCGCTGCGCGCGTGCCTGTCGGGCATACACGAGCGCGCCGCATGGTACCCCGGAAGCGACGCCAAGCGGGCCGCCTTCACCCGGCGCTTTGGCAACGTGAGCGGGCCCCGGCTCGGCAGGACCCCCGTTTTTTTTAAAAAGGGCGTTTTTGGGTTCCTGGCCACCTCTTGGCGGGAACGGGTCTGTCGTTTCAAAACAGCGGCTGTCGCAAGGGGCTGCGCGCGGCATGGTAGCCCATGCCTCGTTGTGCCTGCCTCTAAGAACGTGTTGCATACACCGCACCCACGCCGCCCGCGTGCGTCACTGATGGCGGCGCACTCCACCGATTGCTGACGCAGGCCGAGGGGCTGGGCCGGCCTGTGCCCGGGGCGGCCGCACTCGAGGGCGGCCTCAAGCCCCAGCCCTGGCTGCTGGCGGCAGGTGGGCGGCGGCGCGGGAGGGGGCCGGGGCCCGAGGCGTTCGTCAGCGCCGGCGGCGGCGGCGCGAGCGCGGCTCGGGTGTGCTCGAATCGACTGCAGGCATCGCTTGTCACTTGGTGCACTCATCCCTGGGGGGTAGCATTGTGAAACCGACTGGGGTTTCTTGAATTTTGCTGACCCCTGATGCTTTCCTTTCGCGTTTTGCAAGCCTCCTGCAACCTCTATCGGCGGGGCGCCTGCGAGCCTGAGCCTGACACCACGCGCGGCCGAGCCGCCCCCAAAGGCAATCAGGCCCGACCCCGCTCTTCACCCTGCCCAGCAACACCCGGCGAATACCTGCAACACCCGACAACCCCCGACAAACACCAATCAGCAGTCTGAATTGACCAACACCCAACCACCCTCAGTCAACCCCCAAATCTGAACGACCGCCACCCGGAAAACCACCAAAACCACCTGTAAACCCCCCAGGCCTGGCCCCCGACCAGGCGTCCACCCAGGAGGAGAACTGGTGCGGCGTGCTGCAGGAGGTCGCGCTGCCCGGCTGCGGCGGCGACGCGGCCGCGTTCCTGGGGGCGGCCGTGGACTACGCCAACAAGCAGTGCTGGGGCACGCTCGCCTGCAGGTGTGTGCACAAGTGTGTGTGTGAGTGTGCGCGAGTGTGTGTGTGTGTGTGTGTGTGTGTGCTACTGTGGTGTGTGAGTGTGTGTGTGCGAGTGTGTGTGTGTGTGTGTGTATGTGTGTGGTGTGTGTGTGTGGTGTGTGTGTGTGTGGTGTGTGTGTGTATGTGTGATGTGTGTGTGCGCGCGCAGGCGGGTCGCCTGAGCTGAGCAGGCCTGTGCAGGGCCAGGGGTGGTGCGAGGTCTTGCCGGGGGGGGAGCTGGGGTGCGCATCTTGGGGATGGAACACGGGCACGAGCGCGTGATGCACGCCGCACGCCTCTCTTTTCCCGTTCGAATCACTCATCCTGACCGTGTCCACGTCTCACACTCGCGCACTCCCCCCACACGCACCCCCCTCACACACACACACACACACACACACACACACCAATACATCGCTCCCCCCTCGGCGCTCGTCCTTCCCCGGTCTATAATCCCTCGCCTCCTTCCGTCCTCCAAGCCACTCCACACCACGCCACCCCACTACCGCCTCCCAGCGTGTTCGTGCACCCCGAGACGCAGCGGCGCCACGCGGAAGCCTGGGAGGCGGCGCTCGAGGGCCTGCGCTTCGGCAGCATCTGCGTCAACTGCCCCGCCACCACGGGCTTTGTCGCGACGCCGCTGGTGTGGGGCGCCTACCCTGGCAACACGCCGCAGGTGCGCTGCGCCCATCTCCCCCCGCCTTATGCCCCGCACAGCGCTGCTTGCCTGCTTACTGGACTGAGCGCTGCCCGAGCCGGCGCGGGGCCGGGCGGCCGGCGCCCGGCTGCCCGCGGGCCCCGGCGGCGGGACCCGTCGCCGTCCTCCTTCCCTCCTCCCTTCGCCCCGAGTGACACCACACAACTGCTGAACACCCACCGAACAAACGCCGATCCACTGCTGAACAACCAGTGTGTATAACCACCCACCCGACCCCACAACCTCCCCCGTCCCCCCCCCCAGGACATCGGTTCCGGTGACAGCTACGTCCACAACACATACCTCCTGGACCACCCCGAAAAGTCGGTCTGCCACGCCCCCTGGACTTACAGCCCGCAGCCCCTCTGGTCGGTCTTCCAGTTGGGCCTGGAGGCGGCGATGCCGCCAGCGCTGCGCTACATCGTGAGCCAGGACAGGCCGCTGGTGGCGCTGGCATATCTGATGCAGGTCGCGGTGCACGCGCTGCGGGGCTCGGTGCCGCCGCCGTGGCCGTGGAGGTAAAGGGGGGGGGGGCGGCTGCTGAACTGGCTTTTCCGTTCCGGCGATTTCGTTCCGGCGGCGGGCCGGTCCGCGGCCGGGCTTGGTGGAGGGCAGCTCCCGCTGCGGCGGCCGCGGGCGGGCGTTGACGGCGGCGCATCCTTTCGCGGGTCGGGCGCAAGGCTGTGCAAATGCATACTCACGCCAATTTTTCGGGCATCCGACGACGCTGCAATGCACCCCTGCGCTTGGGGTTTTGATTCGCCAATCCTGAAAACTAGTGTGGGGTGGCTGCTTGCACAGGCTTGTCAATAGAGCGTGCATCCGCTTGAATGGGTTCATAAACTTCGGCGCGCGTGCATGCCTCTCGTGCATGCAACAGCGCGGGGGGTTGCGGGGAGGGCGGGGG